CACTGTCATGGCCCTGTTGTGTTGTGGCACAGGATCCTTGTGGCATTTTTATGGGAAGTTGGACCCCCTTGTGATGAAAACAGATAATTCCGCCTGCCCTGGTCTGTATGTTGATGATGTTTTACATTCAAGTGACCTCCAGACTCTGAATGATGCTTCGAGGCCCTTGCCGTTGACAGGAATTCAGCAATAGAGAGAGGTTAAGAGCTGTTATTATGTGACCCGCATTAAACCCTTGTATCAATATTCATGCTGGGGGGAAACCCTCTCGAGACCGGCTGGCCTCCGTGTGGATTTAATCCAATTTACCGAATGCTGCCACTGACAAAGCGCCAATCTCTCTCCTCCCATTCTCAGAAAGTAAGTGACCTCAACACAAGGTTCCTGGAACATAAAACACCTCAGCCACATGTGTTATCCCCCCCCATAGTCCATTGTCTCACTGAAACCGGTAAATGCCAACCCGTTCACTGGGAACAATGTGGTGCTCGGTTAATGAGGTGTGGCTGGAGGATCGCCTCCACCGTCCCCCCGTCCAAATGATAACTTGCTAATCACTAATGAACAGTAAGTTATGGAGAGGATTCAGAGAACAGATGATGGGAATTGATGAGAATTAATGATGATACGGCATGAAGGGCAGACAGCACGGAGAGACAGAATAGACAGAGAGTTGGGAGAGGAAATAGGAAAGAAGACCACACAGAAAAAAACTGGCAAACTGCATGCCTTCGGTGGGGTAGATTCTTGAAACCTTTCATGTGATTGGAAATAGCATTCATCATTCTACACTGTTTACTTTACAAAGCGCTGTATGGGGTGTCACATCTTCTCTAAATGCAGAAGCATAGAATGTACAGCAGAAGACAGCCCTGAGTATGTTTTCAGGAAAGGATGTGAAGAGGATGTGAAGACCTGGCGGGGAGAGAGAGGAACCCAACTGTGATATGAAGCTCTGTGAAAGTACAATAAGTGGCTTTGTTCGATCTCCACGACGTTCAAAGAGAATGGAGATCCGAGATCTTTGACTGTTTTATCATATATTTCCTTATTTGATATTCAGGGTTCAATTTCGTGAGGAAATGGTTGTGACAACGAAGAGAGCACAGCAGGAGGGTTCAATAAAGAGACGTTTGTGAGTATAGATATGGCTTAGATATCTGTGGGTTCCCTCTGCTTAACATAGTAAGTTAGCTTCAATAATCAATGTCCCAAACTCATTATACATTTAAATGGGGGCTTTCATGAATTATCTGCTAATCCGTAAATTTTGCCGTTAGGCTGAATTTATCCGGGTCAACTTCATGCCTCTTTGACTGAAGAAATGGCTACTGTGTGATGGCAAAGATTTTTCCTCATTTCTGAAGGAAGTGGAAATGTTCTGGCAGGAATTACTTTGATTTATTACACCCCCACTTTCGAGCCACCACAGTTCACTTTGCTGGACCGTGGACCGTGGTGTTGTTAATGCACAGTGCTATCTATAAAATCCACAGAAGGTCTCCCGCATCTGTTCGGAATTATGTCACTTTGGCATTTGATTGAATTAATTCTGACTAGGCAAACCATGAAGAGCAAACCATAGTCTTAAAATTGAAGAAATACAAACATCACCCCCCGGGGACATGCAAATAAAAAAAGAAAGCACATTCTGGCTTTTATTCATTTCTATTGGGTGACAGAGGTAATTGAATTAAGTCTGGAAACCATTAAGATTATTTATGACTGCCTTTCTTCGGAGGAAACATGTACGATGAAACGAGAGCCCCGCTCGGCTGTACATTTCTGCACGACCACTAAAGGCCAATGCAGCCAGCGTATGAAACACATCTTGCTCACCCAGAGAGGGATTTAAAATCTCCTTTTCTTTCTTGTTTGGTGTAAAAATAGAGAGTCTTCAAAGCGCCATACAGAAAAGACGACGCTCTGATCTGCTTAGCACTTGCATTCGACTATGAGTCAAACCAGCCAAATCCCACCTGGCTCCGCTCAGTGACATCGGCAGCACACTATCAATAGCGCTGTTTACATTTGGCATTTGTTCACATTCAACACTTTTACAGCTTTTACATGCTGAGACTTAATTGAGCACTCACATCACAACAGTATGTTTGGCTTTATTTGCATGTTCAACAAAGTCTTACACAAATGACAATACTTTACTTCAGTACTGTGGGATACTTAAGTACAAATTTGAAGTACAGTATTTGTACTTGATTTGGGAAATATCCTCTGCTACATTTATTCTAAAATTTAGATTAATTTCACATGCAAAACTAGAATATATACACCTTTATAGATGTAACTATCCAATAGTGTATTGAATACTTATAAGTAGCTCCACTTCGGCCAACAACAATGACATAAACATGTACACATGAATGCATTATTAATGATCATGATAATACAATAATGTGTAATGTAAAGCTCACTGGCACCAATATGTTTGCGTTACTTCCCTTTTGGTACTTTAAAGAAGAGTTTGACACTCTAAAACTCTTCTATTCTGCTTAATTGGGACTGTGTGGGTGTGGTTTGAAACGATTTAGAGAGAAAGAAAGCAAAATTAAATCAAATACCTTCATAGATTTCTTAATAAAGGCCCTTACTTCTTTTATGAGTACTGTAACCTCCTCCAAAAGTGCCCTTGATTAGCTCTTTGAAGTGATTCTGTACCAATGCTAGTTAATCTAAACATTCAATTTAAAAATATGAAAAGGTCACATAAGTTATAATACCACATAAAAAACACCAGTTAAGCTCAGTCTTATTTTATTTTGCTCTTTGTGCACTGCGCACTGTGCACTAAAAGGCCAACTCTTTTTCAAGCTACACCATCCAAAGGCTGGTGATAAATGACTTGCTGTTTCATAAACTAAGTTCGAGCTCTCTTTGACTTTTAATGTATTCATACATCAGGTATTTTTACTTTAATGCATTTCATATGCAGTGCTTTGACATTAATCAGACTGGCCCTAAACATGTCATTTCCATATCCAGAAAGTGGCTGTGCAGATTGAGAAATCAACATCAGTGCTCTGTGAGCAGCGTATGCCTCATTTATTTCCGCAATCAATGCCGAGAACACTTTGCTGGGCATGATGGATGCACAGCGGGCCTAATTCTTTTCCACTTTAGGATATGTCTGACGTTCTGTTTATCTCTGACCTTTTTCTTAGTTCCAGGGTGAAGGGGCAGTAATTCAAAATCATTTTTCAAGGAGTCATTGGTGTCAACGGATGAATGCAGAATATCACCGTGGCACAAAACACCATTTCAGAAGAGAAAAACTAACTTTTCACTTTGAAATGCTTTTCGAACTATTTCACCCACCCTACAGTGTTTGTAGATGGTGTGTAAATTGGCAGGGCAAAAATATCAACTGATGCAACCGCTTTGCTGCCTTCAGAACAATCACGCCCGCCGAAACCTCTTTGATGGGAGAATACTTGTCAAACCAAATTGCTGTTCCTTTTTTCGTTGCTGTTTCGGTGATGGAAGAATCCACAAAGGTGTTTCCCATGACAAAACTGATGGTGCAGAATGGCCACAAGCCAATGTACAGCAGGTGGAATGATGCCGCCGAGGGCAGATGATGTTAAACTGCCTTGGAAGGAGATAACTAGTTTGGTTAACATGTGTTGCTCAGGTGCTCGGAGAGCTGTTTCCCAGTGTGGGAAAAACGGCTCAGTGATATTAGGCAAAGAGCCAGCCAGGCGTTGGTGGTGAAGCACAGGGACAGTTCGGGTGCAGGAGGAGCACTTCCACCAGACAGAATCTGACTTCTGCAGAGGATGAGGCCAACTTCGCAGTGCATATATGTTAATTGTTTAAAAGGGAAAATGGTGAAGATTTTGCTCTTCTCCTCAACTTAGGAACGGTTAAGATAAGACACCATGTTTAAAAAATAAAGGAACACATATGAATGAATATGTGTTCATCGAAAGAAAATTTATTTTTCATGGCCCCCATTCTCTGTGCATAGTCATACAAATGATGCTTGCATCTCCTCCAAACTTGCTAATGAGGACAGAGACAAACAACCCAGTTACCCCCTGCTGTGGCACATTCTATAGTGTCTTCAGACACTTGGACAATATCCCACTCTTAGGAAACACAAAAAATATTATATTTTTCTGAAAACTTAACTATATTTCTTTCCATATTCATTTTATGTTATTATAATTTTCAGACACATTCTCTGCGACAAATAAGCATGCTTCATCTCTTGAGGAAGACTCTGGAAATAGCTTGTGAGTGGGCCACGAGTTCAGACATAAATGTTCAGAAAAACAACTTCCATGCTCAAGAATGAACCCCTCACGCTCAAACACATTGTGATGAAGATGCTGTGTGAACATTAATGTGGTCTATGAAAAAGGAATTAATGTGGTCTTTGACAAAATCAACCATGTTTAAATAAATGGTTTGGTTGCAGCTGTGCTCCATTTCTGAGGATCATGCAAGTTTTGGCTTTCGAGTGAAAGTGTCAAATTTTGTGAATAATCTGACTATTTACTGCCGCTATTAACGGTTTTGGTCTGGTCTCAACAGGCAGGGGATGTTTCCTGGTGCTCTCTCTCTCTCTCTCTCTCTCTCTCTCTCTCTCTCTCTCTCTCTCTCAACTTTGATGTATTCATAAAAGCCTATCAGGTGTGAAGAACTGCTCTCTGCAAGTCATTTCACTCCATGGTCCATTGCACCCATGGGAATATTAACACCCACTACAATTTGTAACACGGCTGCCTTCAAATTAAAAGCCCAATATATTTTAATGATGAAGAAAAGTAAGTAAGCATTCCGGGCAGGTGTACATAAAGGTCCTCTCTGAAGAAACAATGTTAACTGTCGTTATTAAACCCCCCCTTGTGTCATTTGAAGCTTAAAAATCATATCAATTGTGGTACAATCCGGGAAGAAATGAGTACCTGAGCATCGCCGTGGGGTTTATTTTGAAAGTCTTTACCGGAAGTTATTTTAAACCGCTTCACCATCCTGACAGCAGCAGTGAGCGTGCTGCGGATGAGCAGGTGAGAACCGTAACGAGATCACCGTGTTTTCCACCGCACCGTAAAGAAACTCCTCGACTTCAGGAATCAATATCTGAGAGACGTTTATCTTCGGAGGGACCGTTTCCAGATCTGCGACAGCGGGCAATGTTTCTGCTGCAGTACGCCGGTAAGGCTGAAGTAACTTCACAGCATCACACAGAGAGACACGTTACGTTAACGGGAAAAACGTGTTGAAAGTGTGTCAGTATCCGGTACTAAATGCGGACTTTATAGAGACTTCAGTGTATTGAATTGAACCCCCCCCCCCCCTAAGATGACATTGTGTTGTTGGGGAACACAACTGTTTATTTGTATGTTATCTAACATCGATATAACATTTTGACTCATTCATTAATAATAATATCAATAATAATAATTTAATAATAATTTAGTGCAATTTAGAATCATTCCTATCGACTAATATTACTTCAACCTTTCTACAACAATCTACCGTATTTGTCTTAGTAAATAGTGAGTAAGCAGTGACCTAACCCCTGCTATTTATTCATTGACATTTAGATGTGTTTCTTTTGAAAGGCTGTGTTTAAACTTGCTCCATGATATGTAGGCTAAAAGTTACCACCCCTGTGAAACTTTTTACTACAGGATGAGCAAACTTCCGTTCGTAATGAAATTCATGTTGCTCATTTGACTTTATAATGTCGTTTATCCCTTTTCACATCCCGTGAGCGATGGGGGAACTTGGGGGACGTGTGAATAAACTGTTGAGAAATCATTTGATTTGGCTTGGATCGGGATAAACAAAGTTCATTTTCTCAGACTCTCCAGCCACGAATCTGATGAGCGTGCATGGCTCGGGGATCCCAAACGTTCACTCTTTTTCTGGAACTAACCTGTATTCCATTTTTTTTTCTCAGATAGTACTGAATTGGTTATTTGTAACCAACTAGGTAGTGATGGGCACTGACATTTATTTTTTCTGGAGGGTGTACCAAGCGGGGCAAATTTTAACTAGTGACCAAACCGTTGAATTACAACGTCTGAGTTCATCACGTGATTCCAAAAAAATATTTTTCCCATTGACTTAAATTGGGAAAGAGACATCTGTAAATCAGCGAATAAATGTCTTTCCCTCGGTAAATCAACTTCCCAATATAAACACTTGATAGCCCTTATTTAAATAATTATGTCCTAAAAATTATCAATCCAAAAACCTCCCACCAACAGTCTTACAGTACTTTGTTCATACACTTTGTTCACCGTTCCAGCTGCCTCCAGTTGACTTAACTGTGATTTATTTACTCCAGGTCGCTCACAGCCTCGTCTAATGATGGATAAGTGCTCATAATTTGATGATTATTTCCCCAAGCTACTAGCCAGCCAAGTGTTGAGAATATGCGAGCAAACCTTTTCGGTGGGAGAAGCTCTGTTCACACAGCTGTGCAGTTTAGTCGGTCATTCTGCTGACCCGTTGTAAGCTCTGATGTTTGTGGAGTTTATTATTCATCTTGATAACGAGTTCTGTTCAGCCTGTGGAAACGTATAGTGTCTTCTTAGGCTCTGGGGGGAGCTTTGTCAAATTAGGGATATCTCACTTTGGGATTGGAGACGACACGTTTTAGGCAAGGTCTGAAATTTCATTTTCTTCAGTGCCTTCTGCACTAAGTATTTTAAGGAATAACATTTCTTAGATAATGTAGACATCATTTAGGGTAAAGAAAGCATGCATGGTAAGTTTCACCATGGATTTTCGAGGGGAGCCCTATTTTTCGGAAGAATATGGGGCGTTCACATGCATGTTAATGCACGCCTGCCTTCGTACGGAAGTAAGACACGGGAACTTTACTTGGATCTTGCCGCTGTAGTTTATTCATGGTTAACCTCGACACCTATATTGTACATTTACTCCCACTTGACATCTTTACTGCTAATTTCTCCTCTGCTTTGACGAGCATCCTCTCTCTCTCTCTCTCTGTCTCTCTCTCTCTCTCTCTCTCTCTCTCACCCCCCCTCCCCTTTAATACTTTGACACACTTGGAGTATAGTTATTCCTTCAGTCATCATGAGGTAGTCGGTGAAGTTGATACAGTAACTCTGCGAAACTTGGTGTGTACATCAAAACAAATAAAGCTTTAGCTCATGCAAGACTCTTTCAAATGTGTAGCTCTATCTACTCGCCCGCCAACCATCTAGACGTGTCTTTCTGTTGTGCTTTTTCGCTGTCCGCCAAACTGACGATTTTACCCGCCACTGTCCACAATTAACCTGCATTTGGCGGCTGGCGGGTGTTAATTTCAGACCCTGGTACTCGGGAGTTAAATTCAGCATATCTCTGCCTCTTTGACCATTATTTTTTGGACGTGTCTCTTGAAAAAAAACTTTTTTTTTCGATTTCAAAACACCAATGTTTTATGTTGATGTTTCCTGAATCCCGTAGCGATGGAACAAAGTCTTCCCCACTCCCAAGAATGTGATGGGCGACATCCTTGCATCCATCACTATAAGTGGAGGCTGAGTGGCCTCAGGAGCAACCATGGTTGAGTTAAGGTCCATCATTCCCTGTGACAGCCATTTACCTCCACCCTGCAACCGATCCTCTCTCTGATCAATGAGTAGGACATTGTTGGATTGCCATCAGCGGAGAGGGGCTGTCGGAGAGGTTTCAGAGAAATATTGAGAGATTGAGAGCGAGAGACAGAGAGAAACTACTGGATACCTAATTTGTTTTGATTTTTGCGGCAGCCCCAGGATAGTGGTGCGAGCGCAGCTAAATTAAAGCACAACCGAATGCAGAGTGAGATATTATAGAGTGTGGGGAGATTTGTCAGCTTTGGGGGGAAAAAATCTCCCTTTTAAATGAGGAAACGTAAGCTCAGTTTTGCTAACAATTCAGCAGTAAGTGTGCGTCTAGTAAGAAAAAAATGGCTGTGGGGAAAAGAGGCAGCATAATGAAATGTGAAAATATGAGTCAGAGATAAAGGAAGCTCACCTTCTGTGAGTACCTCTGGCAATATCACTGTTTGGGAATGGAGGATTCAGGAGGGTTCGCGGCTGAAAGGCAGAGATGCTCAGCTCTGGTTGACTGGTTGTGGATCATTCAGCAGCGCCTCGAAGGGCCAGGAAGACACGGAGTCTACTGGCTGTTTAACTCCTCCGCTGGGTTTCTTTAGCTTCGAGTAGCTCTTCATCTCTTTCTGTGGTCCACAGTCTATGAAGAGTTGTGCCAAAGGGTGAAGCTAAATAAATGATGCTTTCAAACTGTGTGCTTTAGCCCTCACTACTTTTTCTTATTGTCTCCAATGTATGTCTCCGAGACACAGATGAGCCCCGCCTTGGTATAGCCTCGTCACTGTAGAGCTGGTGTAAAGAGGTGTTCTAAGAGAATTGACCACAAACCATCACGAATGAAACCTAAAAATATTGAATTTCCTGATTTGAGTGCCGTTAGTGAGTGGGTAGAATATAGGGCTTTCAACGAATTTTCTAAATTCCACTATATATTCAATTAACAGGAGATCAAGCTGCACGAGCAAGCCTTTCATTTTCGTCATGTAAACAAAACAATGTACCTAACCTATGTACTTAGAAAACACACGTTTTTATTGTAATATTTACTGGAAATAACATCCAATACAGCCAACAGCAAGTTGGAAACTTTCAGCTCCCTGACCATCTCCTTCCAGACAGCTGCCACTTCATGTAAGTCTTTGTAGTGAAATGAGGAGGTATCGTATCTTCTCATTTCAACGTCACCTATCGAACATTCCTTGTACTTTGCAGCACTTTAAAAGCAAGCGACAGGAACAAAGGGCGTCTGACAAAAGCTCACCTCAAAAACGGCGTGTCGTGCTGCACAGTGCTGCTGTGCCGCTCGCTGCCAGTTAGGACACGGTGTCCTAATATTACATCCTAATATGATATAATATTTGAGTAGTTCCAACTTCTGAGTCTTTACGCCATATTATACGCCATATTATACGCCATATTATATCAGCCCAGTGGTAGCCAACATGTTTAATAGCTTGCAGGTTTAATGAGCGGCTGTATTGACGGGTGACTCTCAGCCGAATGCGTCCGTGGTTTACTGGTACTGACGGCATGCTGTTGTTAACAGGAACAGAACGTGTAGGTGACCTCGTAAAATCCTTCAACCAATTTCAAATACGCAACCGAGCATGAAACAACCATACATTTCGATGCTGGTAACTGTCTAGAGCTGGCCTAGTCATCTGGTTTGCCGGGGCAAATACTGGGCCAACACTGAAGGTATCTGCATGATCTCTTTCTGATTTTCAGCGTAGTACTCTGAAATCACCTGAATGTCTGGTGAATGGTCAGCATAGGTAAGTCTATTGCTTTTCTGTTCATTGCTCTTACTTTAAGTCTATTTCAAGTAACTCGCTTTAACTTTCTTTCTGCCGTGTCTGACTCTCCACAGAGTCTATCTCTGCTCGGCTGTTAGTGGGTTTCCACCTCAAGGCAGAGGGTAATTATTCAAAGCAGAATCTGAGGAATATCTCAGAACTCAAAAGACTTGTGAAGAAAGCAGAGCCTTCAAAATTTGGTTCTCGAGGATACATTTTCATAATGCATTTTATGCATGTGAAGGCAGCGTTGATAAAAGCAGTTTGAACCCTTTTTGCATCTAATTAAAGACGGGCATCTCTATTGAGCGGGCAACCTGACAGGGAGCTGAAGGGAATCACTAAACAGCTCTTCTTATCTTGTCAGAGACGCATCAATAGAAACCTTATTCCTGTGACATTGTCCTCATTTAAATGTGGAAAAACAGTTTTAAGAAAACATGTTTATTTTGGTTATAGCAGCTGGTTTGGCACTGAATGAGTTTGTAATTTTCACTCTGCCCCTCTTGTATTTGAGCACCTCATGCATGTTTGATGTACTGTTTTACACCCACAAAAGCAATTGTTTGGAAAATTGTTTTTTTTCTCCTTTTTGCAGGGAGGTGCAAGAAATGTCCTTGTTACAGCGAGAGAGACACTTTTACATCTGAAATTTGGCACATAATGGTGCTTTTCGACAATTACTACCACCGCAGTGGACAGCTTTCCTGGCTGACAGTGGGCGGTGTGAGAGGCTGTGATTGCATCGGTGTACTGTGGTCTCATGTTGCTGCAAAGTTTTCAACAAGTACTTCATCATCAT